TGCAGGGAGCCGGGATTAACCGCGACCAACGCTGCCCTCTCGTGAGAGAATTTCGTGTATGCTCTGTCACGTTCACAGACACCCGAAGTTAACCACAGCCCCGACTGGCACACGAGGAGGAGCAGGACGCCGCCCTTACGGGGCTCAGACCCGTCTGCACCCTCCAGGCCAGCAGACAAGCGATGACATCAGACCATAAACAAAACAAAAAAACAGCTGAAAGTTTCAGCCCTCCGAGGCATTAAAAGAAGGTTACAGTGGTCCCAAAAGCAGCATAGCCAGAGAAGCACCCTGAGCCTGTAAAGAGCCGAAACACTCCCCTGCGCGCCTCCGCAGGGGCGGCGAGGCCCCGCGCCGGGGGCTGTCGCGGCCCGTTCGCGGCGGGACGGGGAGACGCTCTTACCGGAGCGCCGCATCGCCCGGCTCCCCCCCTTTATCCAGCACCCCTCTGCTAACGCAACAGTCAGAACAGCAGCGCGAGAGACTGGAAAAATACTAACTTCTAGAGCCAAAACATTCACTCTTGGGTGTTTAATCCAAAAAAGGAAACACGCAGAGCTTCTGAGAGTTCAAATAAGGATTTCTCTAGTAACAAAGCTTTACGTAGGCGTCTCCTGGATATCACAGAGACAAAGCAGCATGAAATTCTGGTGCGAAAACAAGAACATGAAGGTGATGAAGACAACACAGGTGCCAGGGAGACATCAGATGAAAATAAACCAGCTGGAAATTTTTATACCTATAAATGAACAGTGAGGCTTCGACATGGTATGGGGAACAGAGGACAAAAGTTATAACTTGGCTGTTCAGAGTGAGAGCACAGAAGAGCTAAGAGAAATGGGGACTGTGTCCTGCAGAGCCCTTGCCCCAGAGTCGGGACCGAGCCCTCCTTACCGTGAGGCGCTTCAACACGGGCACAGGACGGACAGCGGGGGCCAGGCTTCCCCAGCCTGCCCGAGCGTGTTATGCTGGGCTTTCTCCCTGTTTCTGTCACAGCTAAAGTATATCCTGGGGCAAAACGATACCCTAAGAACAAAGCAATTAGGGGATAGTATTTCTGTTTCCAGGTGCTCTGGAGTTTTGACTCAGGTGCAATTAATGGGTTTATTTAAAATAACGTATTCCAAATATATTAATTTGCTTTCTAGTTTCTGAGCATTAGCTTTCATTTTTCAGATTTTTCTTCATAGCTATGCAGACTACCTACTTCCTCTTCAGAGCAGTTTGAGATGCTCACAGAATCACCAAACAAGAAAGAGAAACATCAGACATTTCAAAATCTGCCAAAAGGGAGGGTGAAAAAGTTCCCCTTTGGGCCTTTGGGAAGGCGGTGGTTTCCCCCCCCCCCAAAAAAAAAAAAGGCAACATGCTGCAGTGGAATAGTTCACAGATTTTCATGGTGAAAAACGCTGCCCTATTGCCAAGAAATGTGTTATTTTAAATGGACATTTATGTCAGCTCTCAACTGGTATGAAGCTTAAATGCACAATTTTAATTTGTGTCTGGAAGCCATATTTTTTCTTCTTGAAATAAGAAGAAACTGCTGGAGGTAGTCACTGGGGTAATCGCTGGAGGCCAAAACCGGCAAGGGCAGGTTTTTGCACCTTGTTGAAGGGTGGCCTCCCATTCGTGGATCGGCCCCAGCACACCACCCACGTTCCCACGCGCCTGAATTGCATCCTCTTCCCCATAAATTACCACGGACTCTCCTTCTAGTCTCACCCCATCCATCCTTTCCACTGAGAAGCCATCTTTCCCGTTTTCTTTACTAGACGTATTTACGCACTGCCTCCACTAGAGCAAAGGAGAGCAGAGAGTCTCAGAACAGGAAAATTAAACGTTGTCAAGTGACCCTCCCACAGTATAAATGACTTTAAAGAAAATCCTCAGTAGGCCTCTGCCTATACAAATATTTTTTCATTCAAGTCTCTTGCACTGGGAAGGCGGATGCTATGGAAACTGCCACTCAGGCTTATGCCTGCACTGGCTTAATCCAGGAGATGAGGAAATCGCAAAGGGCTGTGCCAGGGCACAGTGGTGGGGCTTTAAGAGTCTGCTTCCCGAAGTCCTCAAGCATTCAGTATTTTCCTTTATTTGGCTTTTTCAAAACCCTAGCTGAGTGTAGTCTCCTGCTGCTGCTCTTTCCCCATATGGGCAACATTTGCCTTTTGTTTACTCAGCCAGCTGCAACGTGCGCTCTCTCCAAAACCCTCATTCTCTTTGTTTATATCCAAATCATACCACACACAATAGTAGCATCTGAGTAGCTGCATCCTGCTGATCCCAGACAAGCCACGTCAGCCCAGCCAAGCTTCACCGTGGTCTGCGCTCGGGGAGGGGCCCCTTCCCCGGCGAGCTGTTTCTTCCAGCCTGTGTTTGCCCTCTGAAGGCAACTAACGTTTCAGAGTGGTAGCACGCTGGTGGCTCCTGGCTTTTCTGAGTCAGAGCCTGTGGCCTGGCTGAAGCCCTGTTCGGGGCGGGGATGGAGAGCTCTGGAGGTTGTTGCGTAGCCAGCGGTCTGGCAAACGAGCGCACGGGTTGTGCGCTCCTGAAGTGGACAGTGGCAGTAACGCGCAGGAGCACGCTTCACGAGCTCCGTGGTAGGACCTGCTCCAGCAGCACAGGTGGCTGCAGTCTCATGCTGGGACCTGGGCCAGCGGGCAGCTCTGCATTGCTCCGGACTTTGTGCCTGTATAGAGTCATTAGGAGACCGCTCTAATTCTGCACGCGATTTTTAAGGGATCTCAGCCAGCACTGGGTTCCCGGGAGCCACCTGTAGCTTTGTTAAGTGTCAAGCAATTCTCAGATCGTCATTTCAGACAAACTATGCTGTGGCAGAACCAAGGGACGAGGTCACAGGAGAAAACAGAAACTGGGTTCTCAGCGCGCTGGCCCAGGTGCAAAGGGAGGGCTGCAAAACGCTGCTCAGCTCCTGATGTCCTCATACCTGGGGTTAGCTGCAAACGCTGAGGCGTCCTAAAACTCAAGGCTTTGTAAATGAAACACTCCTCATTTTTGAGATTTGAACCTTTACGCTGTAACTTTACAAGTATCTAACACATCTCCAAAACTAATCAAAGTTCACTTCCCGCATTAACCATCTTTTCTTACACTCCTGTTAAAGCTGATATTGTTACTGAACAGTCTGAATCACAGCAAACTGGTTTCTCTGGGGGCTTTCTGGGCCCGCAACTTTTTCCTGATGCTCTCTGTGAGCTTTTTTGTTAGGTCTCATGACAGAAGAAAGTTGCTGAACTAAGTTGTACCTAAGGAAAATCCTAGTTTCTAAAGTTCCTTTGCCCCTCATATACTTTCTGGCCCTGGTGCTGCTCTGTGGGCTTTGCTCTTGCTCTGCCACTCCTCCGCAGAGGCAGCAGGACGGTGGCCACAAACACAGCAGTTACCTGCACACGGCAGGGGTCAGGATGCAGACACTGCCCAGGGTGCTGCCAGCACAGGTGACAGCACCATTCCTTCGGAACATGGACGTCTCCTCCTTGCCAGCAAGCTCCCTGGCCCCTATTCTTGTGTGGCAGAACAGGGGTTTAAAACAGCTGCAAACGTTTTCACATAATGAACAGCAAATGAGAATGTTTTTTAATATTTAAACACTCTCACTTTTATGCTAAAAGTTCAAGGTTGTGCATTTCAGTGCACAGATTATATTGAGGTGCGATTCAGAAACAGTGCAGGTGAGGCAAATGCACCATAACTCTGATTCTGATACTTAAAGGTAACTGGAGTTCTCCCTACCTCATCCACGAGTGCATCCGCAGCGTGGGTGTCCACCTGCTCAACTACTGGAGCTGGACTGTTTTTCCCTTTGCACCTTTCCAATATATCCACGTGCCCTGGCCACATGTAGGAGGAGCAACGCACACGTGCTGTCACCAGGTCTCCACCACAAAGCACTCGAAGTCCAAGGGCTCGCCCGGAGAAGAGAAGATGTCTGTGATGGACACCTCTTGGAGACTGCTGTCAGCCACTGGAAAACAAACTAAGGTCCCTCTCCTCTCAGAGCAGGACGTGGGAGAGACTTGCTAAGGAGAATGCAACTCCCTGATTGCTTCTGGTTTGTGCAGGTGGCAGTTAACTGCAGTTCCCTATGAACTTTCCCTATGGCTTTCTTTGAGGCCAATGAACTACCAGTCACAGTTCTTTACCAGTAAGACCTCATGCAGATGAGAAAATAATAAGAAAGGGAGGCCATGTGGCAGCCACATGGCCTCGGACAGTGCACTATCGATGAGGAAATTCTAATGCAAGAATAAGCATTAATCAAGTAGGAAAAATAATCAGAAGAGAAAAAGAGACAGAGGTCATTAAGACAGCAGCACTAGAGCTACAAGTAGCGTTTGCAAGGAAGCTGATGACACTTCACTAACGTGCGTAACAACTGCTGCTGCTAGTCGGGAGCTGAGAGGAGCAGAGCTACGTGGTGTGCTCCATGCACTTGGCACAAGGATGAGCGAAAGGCACAGGCAGGCGTACGCTACTGGTGGTGTATGTCAACCCACAGGGTGAACGTGTACACAGACACGGGACGCTCGCACAACACTCCAGCCTGTCCTGATATATATTTGCATATTAAGTATTGGATACAAAAAAGTTGAAGGTCTGACTTTAGACAACTCCCTTTTCTTCTCACGGTGCTGAACTGAACTCTTCCAACACTCGATGTTCTAGAAGTCAATCTCAGAAAGAAACAAGACTTTCTTGTACCTTTGTGATAAAGCAGCACTATTTTAGTAACAGTGATTTAAAAAAAGCCAAGGCATCCAAATTAGCTGCCTAGTGATTTACAGTGGATGTGTTACCAGGTTGTGGGTAATCGTAAGGGCATGACTAAGTCGGGCAGACATCTATAAAACCCTTGTCAGAGGGCTGCAACATCCATGTCTTCAAATATACAGAATCTGCTACTAGAAACATACTAGGAAAGGTCCTTACCGAGGAGTTGACAGCAGGAAGATTGCAGTGATTTATGGGGTTTGGGTCACCTCATTCCTCTACTGGAACACGCTCGCAGAGATGTTGTAAAGTCTCCATCCTTGGACATACTCAAAACCTGACTGGACATGGTGCTGGGCAGCCTGCTCTCAGTGACCCTGCTTGAGCAGGAGGATTGGACCGGACAATCTTCAGAGATTCCTTTCAACCCCAGCTATTCTGTGATCTGCGAGTCTCAGCAGGTCAAAGATTTGGTGCCTAGGAACTGGAGGCCAGTAAGAGCCTGCAGCGTCATCATCTAGGATATGGGTTTATATATGTTCTGTTATGTCAACACGGCCAGAGGCTGCATTTATACAGCTGGGGGAGAGGCATCACAGAAAACTTCAGGGACCACAAAATGTCAAAAATCTGTTTAGTTTCATTTGGTACTCAGGTCACCAAAACTTCCCCTAAGGGCAAGAGCACCTTTCATGTGGGGGCAGAGGGGAGATGCTTAATTAAGCAACTTTGACAAAGGGTATGGGGGGGGGGACATCTCATACCTTCAGCACTTGGTCCTTCCTCAGTGCAGGGATCCCTGGGGTGTCTTCCAACCCTACGTGTCCTTTTGCTGCTGACTAAAACAAGACAGACCGTGAGTGAATATTGACGCACCCATCCTCTGCAAGGAAAAGCAATTTCCCAATCGTGACTTGTAACAGGAGCACTACATTCTGGGGAAAAACAACAACAACAACCACCCAAAGACCAAACCCATGATGTTCTCAATGACCCCACACATCCACAGAAGTTGGGGACAGCTGTCACATTGTCAGTCACACTTTGAAATTCTGCAGCCACAGCAGGCAGATTCATGCATGACTTATTTGCTTCTTTGGAGCAGCTAGAGGAACAGACCAGGAACCAGCTCATATGGCCAGGTGTCAGGACAGAGAGAGCAATGTTAAACAATTCTTTACAAATGTCATCCTAGAACAAGAGACTACAGTACTGAGAGAACTCATGCTTTTAATAGACACTGAAATCACAAAGAAAGAAGGCCAAATGCCTCAGCAATTTCAATAAAAATATGAAAATCTTTTTACATGGTAAATTTCATAATATAAAAAGTTTAATGCTGTCTGGAAACAGAGTTTTAATTTACAAAAGAAGTCCATATAGGCCAAACATGGCTAACACTGCATACAAGGAGAGCAAGTGCTAAGGGGCTGCTGCTTGGAAGAGTCTCTGCTGACAGTCCTCTTTGAGTAACCATCTTCAAAGTCCTTTTGAAGGCATCTGTGACGGAGGGGCCACATTTACCACACCCACGTACAGCCTTTCTGGACAGCGTGGCACAATAGATGCAATGATCCCAAAACTGCTCAAATCCATTGTTACCTAGCCTGAAACTACCAGTGCTTCTTAACAGATTCACAGATTTTCTGTACACCTGGAGCAACCTAATTTGAAAAAGATGATGTTCACAGAACAAGTTTGACCTAATGAAAGGAAACACGGCCAAGAACAACATATATGGGTGTAGCACCCCTTCAATGCTTTTTCCTTGTTTAAATAAGGTATGATTAAAAAGAAGGAAAATCAATACCAGGCCAGAGTTCAGGCTAACCAACAAAATGAAATGAAACAGGATTTTGGTCAGTGAGATTGTTTACTGTTCCCATTTAGTTTAAGCTAAAGACAGTCAATAAAATATATGTAATTAGTATCTCACACAGTAAAACATACTGGGTAAAACCAAACTGAAATACATTCTATTGCCTTGGGGAATTTTTGCATGTAGGTGGTTTAATGTGAAAGTGGAAAATACCTAATTCTTATTGCTCACTGTATTAAGCAGTGTTGTCACTTGTACCATGCACAAATACAACAACGACAAATGCATTTAAACTCCACAGAAGGAATTCTAATATCAAAAGGAGAACATGTTTTTTTCATTTCCTGAAATTCTCCACGTACTGGGCAAACCTGATAAAACTTTTTTTTTTCCCCCCTCACAAAAGGGTTGTTTCTCATTCAAGGGGTGGAGGAGTGAGGCACAAGGTGTGTGAAGTGTATCCCAATCATGACAAGCATGCATGTTCACAGCTCTCAGTAAGCCAACGGAAGTGCCCTGTGTCAACGGAAATAAATTTCCCAAAAGATTTGTTCTACTGACACTTACCTTCCATATTTATACAATACCAATTTCCCAGATACTGAACTTCCTCTACATCTGAGCCCTTCCCTGCTTCTAATGCTTCCCTCCCCAACTGTTAAACAATACCAAGAAAAGATTTAGCTCTTTCTGAAAAGTTTAGTTATCCAAAGCCAATATGAAAACCACTGGCAGCGTGAAAATGGGCTGTACCAAAATGGCAATATATAATTTCTACAGATTAAAGATCCTTTAGTTATGGAAGTAAACTGCAAGTAGAGAGGCTTGTTTCTGACGTGATATGCAGCACTGCAGGGAGTATTTGCTGTTGCTATAAGCAAAAAGCTGCCCACTTCCATCCTGGATGTCCCTGGGATGTCGTTCTACAACGGCTGTGTTGGTTTTACAAACAGAGCAGCAGGTCACGTGAAGTCTCTCAGCAGTCTTGTGACCACAGCAAGTTGCACAATCAGCAACATCACCATCCACATGAAGTGTGCATGTTGTATTGACTCATTCCAGCCCGCTATTCTAACTCTTGCTGCTTAATGAAGATGACACCTAGCACCGGTCCATCACAGGAAGATGCAACATACAGAAAAGTAACTTGCATCATGTGAGTTTAACAGATTTTCTTGACTGTTTTGCTACATTGCATAATATGAATAAAAAAAATAACTAAAGTCTTGTTGTCTTTCTGCACTGAAACTCTTGTGATCGTCCATTTCTTGTTAGCTGACTAAAACAACACAGCCCTATATTCTTTGCTTTTAGTGCTTATATTAATTCCTTGCAATGGTGAAAAGGAAAGCATTCCTCCAGAACCACTGGATTCTTGAATATAATCAAAGCAAGTATTTGATATGCACACCATCAGTAAGCTGAACATAAGTAATGTTATATTAAGGTGTCAGAGTTCAATCTTCTGTCCTGCTATCAAGGCCTTTCCTCCAAGATCCCAAAGAAAATCACAAATGATCAGGCCCATATTTTCAAGAGCAGCATCCAGACATGATGGGTAGAACAATTATCTGCATCAACCACATGCCTCTTGTAAGATTAGAGAGCAGACTGCACTCACCATTCAGGAACTCAAGGGCAAGACTGGAAGTTGACTTAAGATCTGACTAAGACTCAGGGCCTAATTAATTAATTAAGCTTCACAACACCTCTGTGAGGTAGGTAGGTAGGTAAGTATTACTATCCCCACTTAGATGGGGAAGACGAGGCACAGAGAGGTGAAGTGATTAGCCCCCAGTTGCTCAGGAAATTTAGGGAGTGCAGAAGAGAAACCAAAAGCCTCGGTGATCCAGTGCTCCGACTTCATAGCTCACGGCCTGTGAAATACTTTGCTTTGATCTAAGGGTGCAATGTGGCTGAGTTAATGCTACCACGTGTCCACACATTTCGACGCATGTAAATTATCACTTTCGATTATTATTAAATCACTGCATTTAATGGCCACTTAAGAAAAAGAAAACACCCAACCTCGAATGTGATCCATAACAGCTAAGTACCATCTAAGACAGAAAAGCTTACTGACTTTTCCCCGTCACTCCCGGGTTGCTCTGCTTTCTTTCTTCTCCGTGGATCAGAGAGTGCATAGATTCTGAAAGTAGCCAGTCTGCATGGTCCATGCTCCGACTGCACGTGGACATAAACCTATCTTATCTCATGTGCTTATACTGGGATACTCATCTCCAAAAGAAATGAGTTTCCACGGGAGGGGAAAGATTTGAAGACCTTGCCCAGGTTGAGCTATTTGGAAAGATTCAGCAGAATTAGTGACGGATTTATTTGGACACGTGATTTCTAGATCACATACACTGATGTCAGATTCCTGCCTACTGTGGAACTGTAAAATAATGCTCTGAGCTTCAATGTTTGTCTCCCTTTTCTGTGCACACTTAGTAGACAGAAGACATCTGCGCTGACCAAATACTTGCCAAGATGAAAACTCCACCATCATAAAGCTGTGTGCCAGAAAGATCAGATCATTCAATAAAACCAGAACTTGTTTCTCTGACACACTCCCACTACCTCACGCGAGAGGCTCAGATTGTTCATTATGCCCAAAACATTCTTCTGGGAGCAGACCAATCAGCAAAAATTCACCTGAAAGGTTTCCTTCCAGAGAAAAGGAGGTTTTAGAATGGGACACCTCTCTCCTCATCTTTGCATTACTTGCCTCTGAACAATGCAAGAGAGCTGCCAGTATCATGCTGCTATGGATTTGCTGCACCAGCAATTTCCTGCGTTTGGCTAACTTAGCAGAGGTATCTGGAGCTCTGTTATCTTATCCTCTTTGTCAGCCTTTGAAAGCAATCAAAGAAATGGCTTGTACTTCTCTAGGTAGAAACTTGTGCACACTTTCTTTGTGGTATAAATGTGGGAAAGGTTTGCCTTCTCTCGCCTCCCTCTCCAATCCCTGATATGTATAATTGCTGTATAAAAAGCCAGCTGCAAAACTTCCCGTTAGGATAAGAAATATGAGTAAGTGGCTTAAGAGCTAATATTTTATGAACAGACAACTGGAGTCATCGGACCTGTTGCTGCGAGTACTGAACACTACATAAGAACTGTTATCAAGTGAGTCTGGCCAGGATCCAGGTAAGGGGAACCAAAACCCATCTGTGTAAGGCCCATGTTTCTATGCAGTGAGGACAGGGCCAATCTGTTGCACGCCTGTGTATTGCCAACTGTGGGTGTGACCATGGCTTTTTAGGTAATATTCTATGGTTTCGTATTGATAAAGGCAAGTGGGCAGAAGCAAATACTTTTAACAAGATTGTAAGTTATCAGTTGGTATACAGGATGTTTCAACATTTGGAGGACGGAAAAAATCTTCCCGGTGACAAGAATTTATAACCGTTCCCAGATGGCAGCCTCAAAGGGCGTGCAGTTCCTGGAGTACTACTGGAAGGTGGAGAATGAGTTGATGTCACTGCATTTGTAGTATCAGGGCGCCTGTGTCCATTTGGAGGGTTCTTTTGTGGAGAAGCAAGGTGTTGCTGAATAGACAGGTCCTTTAGTTCCAGCTTATCTGCACTTTCTTCTTTGCTGTGTCGTGGAGATAAGTTTAGCAAGCTGAGGACATCCTTTTTAGAAGTCATTGTTCCAGGAGCTCCTCGGAAAATCTTTATTGGGCCAGTGGAGTGCTGGGGAGTGCTCTGCCAGAACATCTTTAAGTTGTGAATTGCTTGCACTTTTTCATCAATGGCAGCCATTTTTAATTTGTCTATATCTGGGGCATCAGCGGGACTTGAGCGAGCAGAACCAGCTGAGGAATAAGACAGAGCAGGAGATGGAGTGCTGCCACCAGGTGACTGGTGCCCTGAGCTTGGAGAGATATTTCTGGGTGATTTAGAAATATGAGCACTGTAAGGAGAGCTAGGGTACTTGAGTTTAAAGTGAGGCTGTTCAGTTAAGGATCCATGTGAATCAGAACTTGGAGATGGCTGCCCGCTGTATTGGCCTGTGCCTTCTTTGTTTGACATCTCAGACGTTGTGGGGCTATTATAGCCAGAACTCACTTTCTGCAGGGATGAACTCCTTGTTGGAGGCTTTGGTTTAATTGCAACAGGTGAAGACTGGTTCTTCTGACTAGAGCTAACTGGCCTACTGAATGCACTGGTCTCTGAGGATCTGAACGCAGATGCACCTGCTGGTGTGGGAGCCCCATCGTCTGAACTGTTGCTTTTGCTTATTTGACTGCTGCTTCTCTGAAGACGCTCAACAGCAATGAGGTGACTCTGAGTTTCCTCCAGAATTTTTTGGGCCAACTCTTGCGGATCAAGCTTTGGATTGCTGTCCTCCTGGGACTTGACAGTGCTGTCAGTCTCAGTGCTAGATTGGTCAGATTCCCCAGTATCAGAACTTGCGAGTTTCCCGACTTTTTGGAAAGGTGAGTTTGGACTGGGAATAAGAGTCATTTTAACGGGAGAATTTGGGGTACTTATGCTCCCCTTTGAATTGACAGACTCTTTAATACCTCCAGTCTGACTAGTTTGAGGCTGTTTGTGATCAGGGGAAAATCTCATTTTCAGGTTTTCTTGGTAATTGGCCAAAGGCTCATTGCTAATTATAGAAAAGCCTTCATACTCCTCCTCATCTTTGCTCACTGCAGTGCTGGTTTGCAGTGACAGCTGGCTCTGTGCTGCAGAAGGCCTATGCGGATAGACGTTCTTGGGTCTCTCGTAGTCCTGGCGTCCTCTCTGCCCCACACCATCTGGCATGCTCTCCGGCTTGGAAACAAAACTCATGGAAGAAGCAATGGAGCTCAGGCTATACACAGAAATGGCATCTGATGCAATGCTGTCTGGACAAGTAGGAGAGAACGGAGGGTTTTGATACTGGGGTAATACAGGGTTGGAAATAGACTGAGCAGAAGCCAGTGATTCTAGTGATGAGGAACTGTCCAGGCTAAGGCGCTTAGGAAGCTCTGTAGAATCTAAAAAAGAAAAAAAAATACATGTACAAACACAGCCCTAGATGCATACTAAATCCAACTAAACCCAGGTAATGTTCTCATCAGAATTAAGAGGAAACGCTACAAAACATGCACAGAGGCTCTATGCTACTCTAAAAACACCCAGCTACTACTCAGGTGAGAAAAATAATGAGCACAGCCCAGGAAGTGAATGGGTAGGGACTCAGTCCAGGCATCCTTACAGGAAAACTCTAGGAACCTGTCAATGGATTATCGTTTTAGGTCTCAAACAATCATGGATTATACATCCTCCAGTTGCTGGATTCTACCCCAACTTTGGCCTCAGTCAAGTCTTAGTGTTTGCTTCCCATTTTGTAAAATGAGGCAAATATTTCCTACTCCAGACAGTAGTGCTACAAGGCCTGATGCATTCTTCTCTGAAAAAGATGTTGAACTATCCAGACATACACCCTCTATTTCAGCATCTTTCCTGCAGGATAGTGCTGTAATGCTATCTGCCTATCTGGGAGCATTTTGGGTAGGCAACTGAAGTTTGGAAATTGTCAGTGACATCGATATATTAAAAAAATAACATTTGCTGCACCTACTGTATGATGTGTGGTCTGTATGATGTATGCATGATGATGTATGTATGTGTGCACAAAAGGTAAGAACAAGAAATATCAAGAGAAGCCATTCTGATCAAATCATCAGATGACAGAGGAGCAAAAACTACTGTAAGTAGCTTTACCAAAAAGTGCCAGCAAGGACTGTAGAGCAAAGTGCATCGTCCTCCTATTAGCTTGTTTCCCAGTTTTCAGAATCACCTCCTCTTGCCCAACTTCACAAAGGTCAAAACCTGCAGCAGAATATGAAGCAAAAAAATTATATCTCACAGAAAGATCCCATGTCTTAAAAGAGGTGTGATCTCAAGTATAACACAAACAGAACAAAGCAACGTGGGATCCTGCAGTGTCCTAGAATGATGATTCTTGGCCTAGAACGTACATTTGCTGGCTTGTTTTTAATTACTCTTTAGCATGTCTACTCCAGCAAGTAGTAAGGAGCTTTAAGGTGCTGGACTCTGAACACATACAGTGATCACTCCTATCCAAACTGATAGACATAATACAGCACTCAGTGTTTTTTAATGTGCAAATTATTTAGAACTGTCAGGAAATCATACGCTAACCACATTTCTGGGGAGGGGTCCTACATGCCCCTGCCATTCATCATTAATTCAAAGATTTCTCACAGAAATAGGCCTGAAAAAGATCAGAGACCTTGGAACTTAGCCAGCGAGGGATGGACAGGAGCAGGGCATGAACGTGTGTTGGAAACGATGCCTGGCTTTCGCTAGCTCTTCTTGCAGTCTTCTGGTGTGTCTCTTTTTGCAGTACTAGCTCTTCTCTGCGATGCCTTTCCCCAAAGCAGGGACCAAAACAGAATAAAATCTAATTCGGTATTTAGTTCTCATCTGTCTTTTCTGCAGGATGCAGACCCTGGTACGTACTATCACCGTGGTATGTCCTATCCTTGCTCAGTGCACAGGTTTCGCTGCCAAAAGAACAGTTGGTTCATTCCAGATAGAAGGCCAGAAGCAAACTAACTAGTATACAACACAGATAGCAGGGGAACAGGACCCTGAGGTAAAAACTGGGGCTGAACCAACTTGGCAGCACCGAGTTGCTGTCAGCCCTGAAATCCACATTCTGCTGGCTCAGGAGATGTTTCAGCGCGTGCAGAAAAACTCACTCTGCCACTGGCCCACCAGCGAGCGCAGAGGCCACATCCAGAGATGCAGAGAACCAAGCAGTACCCCGGCAAACAAATCGCATGCTGCGAGCCCTCACGCTACTTGAAGCTACCACATGAGACACAGGTAATAGTAAGAAAATGGGAAGAAGTGTTTTCCTACCTAGAGCTGCCAGAAACTCATGACAGCCAGGAAGCCTCCAGAGCTGGACGCTGATGGAAACCTGGATTGGTGCAGAGGAGAAATCCTGCTCCTTCTCTCCTGCCTGAAGTTGAACCAAGACTTGATGTAGCTGAAGATAACAATACAAACATTAGCCATTCCTTACAAACCACATCATAGTTTTTCTGACTCTCACAGCTAAGGAAATGCACTTGCAAACAGCTCTTTCCCTATAGAATCATATAATCAGCTGCTGCCCCGGAGCGTAACAGTGAGATGAAAAGGTCTGGGCAGAGGAAGCAGTCCAGGGACAGTGATGATGGACAAACTTGAACACACCAGCAAAGTGTGGGACAGAACAGGGATGCGGGTTGGAGATGTGGCCAGTGGAAAAAGAGCAAGGAGGAAGCACAGCAGGAAAATCTGCGACATGAAAGAAAAGGAAAGAGACACTTTGGGGATGCTCACAGACATTTGCTAAAGCCCGTTGCATGACTGAGCCATACTCCTTATGTGAATCCCAAGAAACTCATTCTCATCATTAAACCAGGCAGAATAAAGTCATATGAAACTATGGAAGACTTTCCTAATACCTTCATGGCTTCCCAGGAAAGAAGTTTCTCAACTGTGACCAAGAGACAGAAGTAGCAAAGTTCAGAAAAAAATATGTTTATGAAGATCTGACACAAATTAAGGTGCCAGAATCGCATGGAACTCAAAAACACAGCCAGGGCAGGAAGGATGGAAAGTTATTAATCAAGGGCCAAACGCATCCCAGGACCACCCACCTCAGCCTGGAAGCTTACAACCCACAAAAGCTTACACTGTCTTTTCTCCACATTAGCATTACAGAGCAAATTCCAGGCCTGTAAGCAGGGTGAAGACACTACCCTGCAGCTCAGGGAAACGGGTCTGCAACGACTATGCACTCTATGGCTGTGCACACTATCCTGCACAGGAGTGTCGTTCCCCCCTGCATGTCATACTCACCATTCCCACCATATTTTTAACAGCCTTCGTGCAGCAGATAACCAGAAAGAAAAAGAGAGGAAAAAAGAAGGAAAGAAAGAAAGAACACAGGTTATTCTGTGCTACAAAGTGCCTGTGGTAGGGAACCCTGCTGTGCAGTGACACATCTGCACACAAACCAGCATCCTGAGTGCAAGATGCTCCACCCAGAGAAAGAAGAGAGTAATGGAAATGGCTTGAGCAGTGAATCAGGAGCCTAGCAGTGTGGGAAAAGGCAGCTGCAATCTGCGAGCGGCCAGCTCATTACAATCAAACCAGACACTTAACAGGCAGATACCCCAGGCCAGCCCACATTCCAGCAGAAGGCTGAACGCAAACAAGCCCCTCTCTTGTTTTCTCCGGGATACGTTATTGGCCTTTGCTGCAGTCAACGGTCCCTAGCTTTTTCTTGTAAATGCAGTAGTACTGGAGTTCTTTCTTTTCTGGTTCCTGCCTTTCATTTTTGCACATAAAAATAAATACTTTTTATTCAGAGCAAGAGATCAGGCTCCCTGCCTTGCTGCTTCACTAATGCCAGGAGCACCTGCTCCACTGTGAAACCTATCACTCCATACTGGAGAGACAGAAGAAAGCACTATCCACTGACTGAGCTATCAGTCATCACAGCTTTGAATGGAGACATCTCTCCTTTGGGACAGGCAGAGCTTTAGCTGCTCACTAACTGGATTGCTGAGGAGGAGGAGGGGAGGAAAAGCAAATAACAGCAGAGAAACCACACCTCCCCCCCCCCCCCCAAACTTTTAACTGAATGAATAGACTCTTGTGCAAAAGGGAATTCTGCTTGGGTTTTGGGCTACAGAAAAACATTTGCAAAAACAATGCAATGCCTCTGCCAATATGGGGAAATGGTGAGTACATCTTTTTTGTTAACTGTGTACAGCCATCTGAATTTTTTTTTTCTTGCGTTATTTAATTATCTGAGATAAGAAGACAATTGGGAAATAATCTCAGGGATATTGTTACACATATAGATCTACTGGAATGTTGTCCTTTACTCATCACATCCCATTTACTCTAGGCCTCCCTCTGGTGGCAATGAGGATAAAATAACCTAATGCTATTCAGCCACGAAAGTCTCAGGCACTGACAAAATAGGCAAGGCAAGACAGCAAAATCCCATAAAGCACAAGCCATTACAAATAATTCACATGGTACTGTAGATTCTGACAAAAAAAAAAAACATTTCCTTGAAAGAGACTCAGTCTCATGGATTGCCAAAGCAGGCTTCCTAATGCATAATTGCAAAGGTGGACCTGTTGCTTTGTGCAGAGAGACTCAATATGACTGAGTGAAGGGGACCCTCCTGAAACTAAGTGGGGATAATCCCAGCTACCCACTGCAGGATTTCCCTAGAACATTTCTGCTTGGCGAAAGGGGAAAAGGTGGTGAGCTATGCACCTATTCACAACATACACTGTGTGCATTTACTAGAGCAGGCAAATGACCAAGATAAACTGCATTAGAAGAGAATCAGGACAGTAAGAAATATGCGACAGAAAGCCAGCCAGGCTGGTGGCACAGAGTAAGGTTAGGTTGGGCTAGGCATGCTAGAAAGGATGGGGAGAGAGAGGAATGTGAAAAGGGGAGTGGGTCCTGTAGGCATAGGTGGCAGTGCTCTGTTTTTAAAGATACTGAATCCTTCTGGCAGAGCTATGAACACTCCAACAAGGAGAGGCACAGGCTTGAGTAGTACCTTGCAGACCTGGTGCTGTCTAAAGGAAGTGCTATTTTTTGGGACATGAGTAATTACTCCGGACAAAGACCAGCCAGCGCGGGCCCTGGATGGGGTTGCCAAAACGCAGTTAGTGCTTCTATCACTCTTTTCCTGTATTTTGCTTCTCCCTCACTGCTGCACGTATTATGTTTTCACTTCTGTCTCTGAACTGGGATACCCTAGGCCATGCAGTTCAATAACATGCCTGCATTTTGCTCGCCTGGACATTCACTTTCACTCACACAAAGAGGCAAGTTCAGAATTTCAACACTGAAGTCTCCTAGCACACAACCTATGGGCTGATAAACTGGGGCATGAACCATTCTGTGCATTTCTGAACCTACTGGGGCCTGGAAGGAAGCATTTGGAGACTGGTGCTGGAGAGAAACCTCCCAACTTACCCGGCTGATAAGCTGCTCTCCTGTTTCTGAAGCTGTGATAAGTTTACAAAGTGCCTGAAGTGCAGGGTTAGGCAAACCTGAAAAACAGAAACAGGGTTCGTTCCAAAACTGCTTCTTGATTGTTCAGTCTGTTTCTTGACTTGCTCAAAATCTGCTTCTTGTTACAACAATCTGAACAGAACACAAACTCAGCTAATTCCTGAAATCTCTCCCCCACATCAGTGAACAGTTCTGGAAGCAGCAGCAATTTCCAGAAAACAAAAGCATCTTCCCAACTTTGTGTCTGATTGAAGGGTTTCTGACTAAGAGCAGGGAGAAAGGAACAGTCACATCATGCTTCTCAGATATTGGATCCAGTGGTACATGTATTCCATGTGTGACAAGATACTCAATAAACGTTTACTTCTAGAGCCTTTGTCCTGTTAAATACTTTTATTTTGTTATTGTAGAAACCTAGAAAGAACCTATTGTAGAACCTATTGTAGAAAAACGTCCAGACAAATTTCATCATTTTGTAGGCTTGCATCAAGGAGAAGCAGGGAAAGGTAGAGGTCTGCTTGAACAGAGCCCACGGCTGGCCTGGTGCTTACCTAGGAGGGACTGTATGGTGGTGCTGCACTGCTGTAGCCGCTCACCAGGGTCAGAGGTTGGGAAGAACACTGCTGCAGGCAGTCCACTGGCAGGAGGGTCCAGCCGAAACCCTACGGCAGTGAGCAGTGCCTGCCAGCCTGGAATGCCACCAACTTTATTCTCTACGCTTTGCTGGGAGGTATACATGGAGTTGTGCTGCCCGTTCTGGATCCGCTGCAACGATTTCTCCACCTTTGGAGGAAAATACAGCATTAGCTTACTTTGTAAGATATTTTTATTAATGATCTCTGCACACAGTGAAGAGGCAGGAAGGGCAGACTGAGCGACAGCAAGACCGATGTTGAACCTGCCTTGTCTTACACTGAAGGATGTTAGTGCCCTTGGAAGCAGAGGCTCGAATAACTCAATACTCAGTTATAAAATCGCTGTGACCAGTCACTAGTCTCCGGCATGCTGGGGAAACAAATGCCATAGGAAACTAGGTACCAGTTTGATTGTGATCAATCCTGTAAGACTGGCAGCGGCATTTGTCCCCAAAAGATGACTCACTCACAGGTTCCAGTCTCCTGAGTACACTGCTCATTACCAGGCAAGACTGTGCAACCAGCTATACGGTAAATAGCAACGAGAGAGACGTGTTCGCAATAAACAGCAACTGGGCTCACTAGCATTATTCATAGGTTTCCATAACCCTATGGATATTCCACGTTCCTGTGGCAGTAGAGAAGACAGGCTGGAAGGAAAAATACTAAAAATCATGAGAGATGATTCTAACCATCTGGCAGCTTGGCCTCAGTCCTGCTGCTCCCCACAGCAGGCTACTGGCACATATGGGAAGACAAGTGCCTCTTACCTCCAAATATGCAAAGAGACAGTGGTCACTAAATTACTCTCCATCTCCATTACTGCTTTCCTTGCAATGTTTGTAGCTATTTTCTTGTAAAAACAATTAACCTCAGCGACTATCTCATTTTTAAAGCACACACTCAATTCAACAGCTATTGCAAACACGATGAGTCCGGGGAGGAGTTTGCCACAACACAAGATACACCAAGTCCTACTTGGTATCTGCTCTGGAAACCCCATCAGATAGCCCACTCTTTTCATCGTGACGCAGAATTTCAGCAAGATACTACCTTGTGCCGAGAGAGAAAGGTTTTATTCAAGTGTGAGTGATCTAATCTCGTTGTTTCTCTTCCCAGTCATTCACAGATGCATACCCAAGGTAACATCATCACAGGACTACACAGGCCGCAATGCCCCTCCCCACACCTGCTGGGTGCTGTAACGTTTCCTTTCTCTTACCAGATGTAGCAGGACACGCAGGGCATCTCGTGCCCTTTCAGGGTGCTGCAGAATCTCAGTCAGGGCCTGTCCTACTAGCGAAGAAGGGCTATTCAGCTTCACATCACTCCCGATGAGCGTGAAGCCTGCAGGAATCAGAATAAGAGCTCTCAATCTCCTCTCATTACAGAAAACTTGGAAAACAGAGGCAGATACCCCCTGCCCTCTCAGACTAATGAAATAAATGGTTCATTGCCCCCTGCAGAGTTATATTCTTCTCCCTAGAGCAGCTGTCTGCTCACTCAGTCCCATAGACTGAACTTCCAGAAAGCTCCCTGGATGCTTCTGACTCTTCTCCTCTATTAAATCAATACTGTTTTCCTGTTCAAGCAAGTGGAAAAATGCTGTATTGCAGCTAGACCTGTCCTAGCATGCTCCATGTCTCCTTTACAGCTGCAGAAATCAATAGATGCTAAGCAGAGCCCAGAAACAACAGAAATTAGAAAACCGAGAGCTTTCCTTGTCTGGGTAAAAAAAAAAACAACAAACCTGTCTTGCTTTATGCACTGTATAAATGCTAGCTTCTCCAAGCACCAGCACAGGTAGCTCTGCCTGCCCCTCCTCACCCACCGCCGCCGGACACGGGGCTGTCTGTGCCGTGGTGCTCTCTGGGACTCGCTGCTAATTGTCAAAGCAGGAAGACTGGAACACGACTATAGTAACTTTGCTCACAAATCACAGAAGGAGCAATACTATGACAGTTTGAGTAACCTTGCTTGGTGGTGATGCTCAGAGCCCATGTCCACATTCACTGTTTTGCCTGGAACTGGGTCTTTAAAAAAAAAAAAATCCAGCAACTTTCCTTTAAGAGAGCAAAATCTTAAAAGGAAAATAAAACATAAATTGAACTGTGGTCTCCAACCTAAACTCACCTCCCATCTGATACTCTCTGAATCATATTGTAACATTGGTCTCAACAAGCCTGAAATCGGTTTGTCAGACTAACTCCTGGTGTCCTCTTTAACAAGCTGTAGTGAGCTTCCCAACCCTCCAGCTACATACACTCTACATCAGAGTCATACGCACAGCAGCTGTCTGATCCAAACAATCAGGCATTGCTGCCTGTGCAAAAGAAAAAAGTACATTTGGAGAATGTTTACAGCTTTCAAGACTTGCGCTAGGGGGAAAAAAAGCGGCTTATTTACAATTATCCCAGTAACAACACTGTTGAACTCCAGGACTTTGTCTTTCTGAATCTCAACTCACTAATCCAGCTGCGAGGAGCGAGTACCAGCCGTTCACCCTGGGAGCAGAGTACACTGCTTGGAAATTTCCTCTGGAGGCCAGGGAAACCTTTCTCCTGAGAGGACCAAAGGAGTGAGACCTCCAAGGTTTATGTCATGGAAATCACAGCTGCTGATTGCTGCTACTGCTTCTAGAAGTACTACTCTTGCCTCATTACAGTAGCAAACGTACGTTACCAGTGACAAGGTTCTGTAAATTTACTCCGGCTAACTCTGTCCCACATACGCAGGAACTAGGCCCGAACACATTTCACCCATGCAGTGAATGAGCTTTGTTATCATGTACCACCTCCTTTCAGTCATGAAACCACTGTGATGAAACACACTTCATCTCATAATAGATTATGAATTTGATTTAATGCAGTGTACTGTATGCTGTGAAATGCTCATGTTTTCCATGACACTGACATTCAGCCCCACTCGGAGTGGAAGGAGCAGTCATGCACAGAGCGATGGCTCCTGGGAGAGTGCAGGCAACATGCAGCTCCTGCCACCTGCTAGCATCGTTCTTTGCTTAACACAAAGCCATTTTGTACAAGAGTCATCATTTTTGTTTATCAAAAAGCAGATGCTTCCTACCTGCCCAGTTGGATGGATGCGAGAACTGCTTGCTGCTCTGTACAGTTTTCATTGCTTCTCCAAGGGCTGCACTGGCTTTCATCCCATTTAAGAGGGAGGAATAGAAGGCATGCACAAACATTTTGGAAGCAGCCACAGGAACGGGCCAGAGTGACACTAGGACACACTGAGCCCCAGCAGCCAGGAACGCTCTTGTTAAGCCAATGACCCCATCAGCAGTGACTTTGCTGTTGGATTCTTGGTAAGAGCCAAGAACCACTAATTTAACAGGAAGCCGCAGATCCAGGACATCAGCTGCTGTGAGCAGAAACTCCTGAAGGGGAGGGCAGTCTGAGATGCTCTCTGCATCACTGGCATCATCCTGCATCCGAAGGGATTCTGGGATTGTGTAGGGGTTCCCAAAAGAGCTCTTGCTGCTGGCTGGATTGCTCTCAGTGTTGGGTGTTAGGACCAAAGCAGCCAGCTTCCAGGAGACGTGGGTTGCAAAATGGACACATTCTGCCTGAGAGAGGGCACTCATGACCCTCTCTTTTGTCGCTGCATTGCCAACTAAGGGTTGACAGCCAAGTAACTCAGACACCATATATGCCTCCTCTTCTGCAGAAGGCATAGGTCCCCACAGCCACCTGTCCATAACTGCTGAAGGGAGCTTGGGATTTCCTATGACAGCTGCCATTGAGGTAGAACTGGAGTAAGTAGGAGTATTCTTCCTCACATGGGTCTACAGAGAGAAAGAGAAAGAGACAATGAGGTTCAAAGAGCTGTCTGCCGGAGTGCCGGTTGTAAAACATGCTGTCTCCTTGGCTCTAAAGAGCAGTTTGGTTGTCGTAATTATAAAAACGCTTTGCGTTTACTTAGTTTCTTCCATTCAGCTATTCCAAGGAACAGCTTCTCTTGAGTCCAGTCAGTGTTTCTGACCCCATTTCTTGCGTGGAGAAATAGATAAGGATAGAAAAAAAGAGACTCAGCCTAGATCACCTTGGAGGGCTGTAGCAGAACTAAAAGTATAAAGGAGATCCCAGCTTCCCACCTTATGGGAAAAATTATTTGCAATCACTAACTGGTTTCTCACACCTGTATTTCAAGGACCAGTATCACCACTGCCAGGAGCATGGTGCTGCATGCAGCTGATTACTGGGGCCTGATGAAGAACAAAAGAGCCTAATCTCCCCCATCAGTAACAGTGACTAAGTTCAGACCCCTTCGGCTGCTCCAACGACTGCGCTTAATCCAGTGCAGCGCAAGGCACACAGTAAGACACTGCTCAGCAAGAGCAGATGTGACTAGGGCATTCTCCCTGGCGACCCAGGGCCTTAGAAAAGCTGAAGGTTGTTGCCAAACATCAGCACGAAAGTAATTCTTCAGGATTTGCCTGTGGTATCGACTTTGACTTAAGGCTTCAGTGTCATGAGACGTGAGAGGCCTTCTCCACACAGAGAGCTGTCAAGTAGGCAAACATATCGGGAGTCTGCTAGGACATAGTGAACTTGGCATCGAAGCTCAGTCTAGATCACAAATACCTACATTTCTGCAGTCTACCATGGAGGTCCACAGCCCAGGACATGCTATCCTTTAGAGGAGGATATCCAAATGATCCATTCCCCCGTCCTCCCCGGCATGCCCAGGGAGGTGATCTCTGTGCTGCAGGAACTGCCCCAGAATCTACTTTACACCTGTGGTGCTCAGTGTGCTCCAGAACTGGCAGTGCCTTGGAAGAGTCGTACACCTACGGTTTCTTGTCTATTGTCAGGTGCAGCAGGACACAGCTGCTGCTATTCTAGCACGTACAGGGACCTGCACCTCACAGGAGAGGCTCTATGAGAGAGAGGTTTTACAACGCAATGCCAAACCTTGGAGCTGGGGTTCAGCGACTGGATGGATGGCACTGCAATGAGGCTGAAGCGCTCATAGAGGTACTCATTGGAGGAACTTCCCTTCAGGAGAGCGAAAGGAATGAGGTACAGTTCTCCCTCCAGAACCAGGATCAGCTGGCGGTGGCGGCCAACAGGACCACTGGAATGCATCAAACCCTGAAAAGGAAAGACAGAAGATCAGTTTGGTCCTTTCACTGCATCCGTGCCGCAGGCTGCATTCTCAAAGCGTTGGGCTCTAGTCTGATCCCACAGTTTGGAAATATCCTCCTCAGAATTACTCTTCACCTGAACATGCTTGACCCCAGATGCTGTGACTGGTGAACACAAACTGACATCTGACAGTTCTATACAGCTGGACTGTTGCTTTTATCCGTGCATGGAAGAATCCCATTCAGGTGAATGACCCTTAAGTCCACTAATGTGCTGTGAAAACCTCAGCAGTCACACTGTGCAAACCTCAGCAGTCACAGCCACCTAGGCAAATTTGCTCATGTCTAGCCTCATCACAGTACACCAACTCCTTCCATTTCGGTGTAAACTCTTAGTTCCAACCCCAGCCACCTGTGTCTTGTCAATACGACCACCTCATGTTTCGAAATAACACTTTTTTGGAATTGAATTTTAAAACAGCAACTTCTCATACAAAGAGGCATATAAAGTGATTGCAGCTTCTGGTCCCATGTAACTATGGGAATCTCATTCTTATTTATCTAATAAGGCTTAAAAATAACTAGTTACCACCCTAGGGAAGGGTAACTCCAAAGAATCAAAATTTGCTTCTGCTTGCAAAATTACAGCAGAAAAAAAAAGTGAAATCTCAAGGACTCCGATGCAAAACGGCAGTAAATTTCTATGCAATTCTATGCCTTTAAGCTAGAGCAGCAGATATAGCTTGGCCTGGTAAATCAACCATTCAGTTAAAGAACATGACTTTAGCACAAGCTCGGATGAGACAAAGTCATCAATCTGACATAGTTTTGGAGTTAACCAGTTCAACTAGGGTTGCTCTATTTCCCTCCAGGCTGCCTTTTCTTCCTAAAGGCAAGCTGACTTTGCAGTGTTAACTGCAGGATGGAGACAGGGACCTAGCAGGCAGGACTACAAGTCCTTTTGAGTGACACCACTTTGATTGCCATCAGATGTAGCAAACATCTGTTTTGACAGGAGAAAAACAGCAACTCGGGCTGCTCAGCTAACGGAGACAGAACTGCCTTAGTCCCTTCCAAGTCGATTTCTGAATTACATTCCAACATTACCTCTTTCTGCTGAAAATGCTGGTTTCAACACAGCAACAGTAAAATAGGTTTATTTTTCAAACACATGACTTGTATTTCATAAATAACCTAAAAATCTCTATCTACACAGATACATCATTCTTGGAAGAAATAATATCCAGGTTCTGCCTCTCTTCTGCTATTTATCAAGCAATACTCTAAGAACCTTGTTTTAGAGCCAGCATATTTCAATTGAGTCCCCATTTGACAGGAGAGAGAAGAATCTTCTGTCTGAAAATGTTTCTCCATTGTCAATAGCGAACAACTACCACAAAACATCTGATGGAAAACAAACTTTTGAAGCAAAGAGGTGCAAGAGCAACATTACAAAATCCTGAAGCGAGGACCTGCTGAATAAACAGACAACGTGACAGAAAAGAAATTGATACTGTGCATTTTGAGGGTGAATTTTACTACCTGAGACAAGTTTTATATAGAGCTTGAACAAACACACCCTGGTCCTAACACACCATTCCTTCTCTCCACCTTGGTCAGGGTCTGTCTTCCACACTGGAGAGTGACTGAGAGCTGAGCATTAACTTGAGATGCACTGACCCCATTTCCCTAGCAGTCAAAGCGTAGCAGGAATCTGCAGTCACTCTCGAGTTTTAACTCTTAGGCAGCAGCAAAGATGAATAAACATTAATAAAGAAACAGCAAAAATCAGTCTGGCTCTCTCTTCCAGAGGGAGTCTGAAATACTAACACCAGGACACACATGAGGGAGAAAGTCACACAGTAGAAAGCTGAGCAGAGACAGCGAGATGCTTTTATACTCTTTTTTGGCTTTTAAAGTAGGAACAAAACTGCTGAAGGGTAAGAAAATTTTCTTTTAAAAGAGTTGCTGACCTCTTGCTGTTTCTCCTGTCCTCCTTACAGCTTCCCAGCTCACCCTGCTCCACAGACTGGAGGCGACAACACAGGGTCAGCCACCGCCGTCCAGCCGCCTTGGGAGCCCCCTCGCAAAACGCGTCTGCTCCATCCTGACATGCTCTTTACAGGCGCTGAGGGCCCAGGGAGGCTCCCCAGCACACGCAGCCTGTGGGAAACCAGCCCGTGCGCTCTGCAGCTCAACCAGCCTCCATCTGGCCTTGTCTCTTAGCACAGACCGAGCTGACAAGCAGCGGCTTCCCACCAGGGTGGCTGTTATTGTCTGGAAATGTTTTGAAGGCTTTTTTTTGTTTTGTTTTGTTTTTATATATATTCCATTTGACTTCCTGCTCCAGGAGCTTTAGCTCTTGGCAACATAATGAGAGCATCTAAGCCATAGTGACATGTGCTTTGCAGGATTTTCAGTTTGTATGGAAAATCCCTAGAGTTCAATATACTTTCTTTTCCCCATAATGTGTTAGGGAGAGAGAAATAAAATCATGAGGCTCATCTGCATTCCGTATACACCTCCAAGGATTATTGTTAGGGGTGAGTTTTAACAAAAAGAAGCTCTTCAGTGAGAGAGAGGAGCAAGGCTTGAACCGTGAAGCACAGGAACCCGTAAGTCTGCCTCGCAGTAGCGATACAGGCTATGCTGGTGAAGTTGGAAAAGTTTCTCGTGCCTAATTTGCCGGGAGCACAACTGTGCAGCGTTAAACCTACTGACAGCTCCTGGCTTGGATTGGCCTCTAACTTGCAGCTAGTGCCGCTATAATCAGAATTTTCCGCTATGATGGGACAGCCCAACCACACGCAATACCTGAACTACATTTTCTTAGACTGTATGCTAGCAAGGATCCTGTATCTGATAATTCTGCGCTCTCCAAAAGTCCTGCCACGGCTGGTATCCCACTTTAGGTACCAGTCACACAAAACTACCAAGCAATACCCAACCACAGTTATTCCTGACGCGGAAGGAGAAAGCAGGGCTCTTGGGAGTTCGAGCTGAAGATCTCTTCCCATCGCATCACGCCTATTTTGACAGATAGGTCAGATAAGTTTCCAGGCAAAGCTGTTTCAAGGTCGTCATCTCCAATGTCACAGAAAAACAGTAAACAGCTTTTTCTGCCCCTCCAAAGGGCTAGGTTCCTTGCCTTGCAAACAGGATGCACGTATACCTTCCGGAGCAGAACCACCTGCTCTACAAGATCTAGGACATAGCCAGGACACCGAGCAATCCAGCTTCTCTTTGCATCTGTATTTACTGGTCATCTCTTTGATTCACCAGCACAAGATGGTTCCTTGCCTACAGCCTCAACGCTTGAGCCGACAAAAGTGCCCAGATGCCGGCAACGGCCACATTCAGAGCACAGTCTGGGTCAAGCTTTGGGACACTCAGTAACCAAAGTAGGGCTGCAGAGCATGTAAACACAGCCACTCGTCACTGCTGCTAGCACCCGTGGGCCCTGGCTAGGAGCATTTCCATGCCCTTGCAAAAGCACCAACCTGTAGGAGGCAGAGAGCAAGTCCAGGATCACTAGGCTACGCATCTGGCTGACAGGGTGGTACAGTGTGACGTTCAGAGGCCCAGGGTGGGTCTACGGTGCTGCCAGCCTCCCTGTTCCACGGCAGCACGAAAGAGGGTGGATAGAAGGAAAAGGCTGGAGGTGGCAGTTCACTGAATCGTCTGCTCCTGGTTTAGCAGCACTAAAAGGAAATGCCAAATGGGCTCTGAGGGCATAACTTTACATGTTGTTGCAGCAAGTACGGAACATAAATCAGAACCAGCTATCATAGCCCTCTAATTAGAAAGCTGTCTACAGCTCTGCTCCGCTTCATTTTGTGCCCTTTCTGGGCACTGCCAATACTGAAAAGGCACTCCAGACAGCGCAAGGCACAGCTTGGATGAGGGATTTGGGAAAAAGGAGTAACTGCTTTGGACGTAGAAAAAAAGTACCGTAAGGAGGTAGTGGAGAAGAAGTGGAAGGGTGAGCATCAGTCGCTGAAAATACAGAGTCAACAGCAGAGAGGAGAAGGATATCACAGCAACAATGTGGAAAACTCCAGGGCATCTGTTCAAGTGCTCTGCTGAAAGGAAATCTGTATCTTGCCCAAGGACATGGGTAAGAATTAATCACCATCTTCACTGTACAGGCAGTTATCTTTGATGCACACTTGCACCAGGGACCGTGGCGCGCACGCACTATCTACACCATGGTCCCTAACCTAGCGTTCACTGGTCAGGTAGCAAGCAGGCAAAAGGGCAGAACAATACCGCTGTCTGGAGAGAGGCATCAAACGCTACTGCCAAATAGCCTGCTACTTTCATCTTAACTGTTCTGACCTTTGAACACAGAATTTGTAAGAAATAAACAAAATAAAGATTTTCTGGTTTCAACATTAGCTGCATGTAAGTTTTGAAATTTAAGGGAAAGCAAAGACAGTGCACAGACTTGTCCACAGTCTAAGGATACACAGAGACAGTGGCAGAGCTTAAAATCGCAGGAGAGCTGGCAAGCCTCAAAATCCTCTGTTCTATGTTCTGTGAAATCTCACCGTTTCTACTCCAGACTACATATTCCTCCACATGACCGCAGCAGCTCTGTTTGTAGGTCCTGGCAGAAATGTTGACGTGCCATCTCTTGTATGTAACTGGTGTGTGGAAAAAGCCCCTATTGCCACCCTGTCCAGCAGCAGCTTTCTCCTTTCCCATGGAGGTGGCTTTCCTGGATATCACCTTTTCTCAGGGTCACTGTCCTCCTCTCCCCTTCTCCGAGGCTTCCCACACTCACACAGAGCATACACCAGGATATTCTCCAGTGTGACGTATTACCTCTACAAAGACCACAGAGGAGGTCAAAGACGACATGTGAAATCCTGAGATGCCAAAGGTGGAGTGTAGGTCAGTGTCAGTGGGACAAGGAACGTCATAAGCAAGGAGACTGAATATCAAATATACTTTTTTGGGCCTGCAGGGCAGCGGGGGAAGGGCGCATTTTGTGTTTCCACAGGAGAGGAAGAGAAGCATAAACTGGTTAAACTATTAAGACAGAAAAAAACAGTTCCTTCTTTCATTACAGACGCAGGCAAAACGCTCACACTGCTGCATCTCACAACATGGGCACGTATAAGGATAACTCTCCTTTGGGAAAAGTTCACTGACTCCCATAAATACACCCAGGCTTGGTTCAGATGAATTTTTCCTGTGTTGAAAACAGTTTTTCACTCTCCCTGACCTATTTGGCCCTAGGCAGCTCTACCAAATGTGTCAATTTGCCAACTAGTGAATCAAATATATACTTCCTACTGAAGTTCATCAAAAGAATTATATATCAGCAGCTGACGGGAAGCGGTATCAACGACAACATCCACTATTTTCATCTCCCAACATACCCAGTCTCACCATCTTGGAAGACCAAGTGAAAGGCACCTTGCCTCACGCAGCTGTCTGTCCTTGCTTTCCCACATCATAGGGGATTTTGGTAAGTGAACCTCTACATTTGTCTTCACTAAAGACTTACTCCTTCCATGGGTCCTATCAATAAGTCATAGAGCGCACGGAGCGGGGGTTTGGTGAAGGAAGTCTGCCTCCTTGGCAGGGAAGTTGTCCCATCCTTAACAGGAGACATGGTACTGCTGAACAGACTGGTCATGCTCTGACAGCTCCTGCGGACAAAAGACAAATGAAAGATTAGTTGCAGAAACACGGAGATCCACGGCAGGTTGCCCTGACTTCATTCTGCTGACCAGGAGTCAGCCCAGCCCAGCCCAGCCCAGCCCAGGCTGCGGATGGTGCTCCATGAGATGCTTCATGCCACAGCTTCGTTCTCCCGCTCAGTTTCACACCACAGTGAACAATGACATGAATGGCACGGTGAACAAGCTGCAGACAGCAGCTTACATTTCTGTGGCACTTCTCTACAAAATCAAATGCCCCAAAGTGCTGTTCACAGTATTTAATTACATACTTGTGTGTAGTGATTGTGTGCAGGCAAACAATTGACTACAATCACAGGAAGCTTCAGGGGGCTTTGCACCAGCTAATCTGGCACGGAACTGAAAGGAAATAAGACAATAGCCAAACAACAGGATGGGAGGTTTACACTGATGCTTGCCGTCTCCCCTCTCAAGGACCCCATGAAGTCAGGGCTGTTGCCTTTGGGCACTGTCTCTAAGCATCATCCTGATTTGTGCAAGCAGGTTAAACTGCATCTCCAGCATGAAAGCTGATCTGAAACCTGTTTTCCTGACAGCTTTCTCATTTCCTGCGACATTAGTTTGCTCCCACTTTCCTGTTCAATGGGGACAATGGCAACACAAGCTATGGTTTCCTTTATCCGCTATCTGGCCATCTCCAGCCACTCTCTTACAACATTCACTGCCAAAATTCAATCACAAACAAAGCTGCCTCCAAGCGCTGCCCTAAAATCACTGCTTCCCTACAACCCAGCAAGACTGATTTTCTTTCCTGATAATCTCTTCTTCATGCAAGCAGCAGAAAGGGATACTTCTGGCTTATTCCACATGGGCAGAATTCCACACACGTTGTCCTGGCATCAGCCACCAAACACTAGCACTCTGAAGAGACTGAGATGGCCTGGGCACAAAAAGTTATTGCCCTGTTGAGGAAATGACAATGCCCACTCTGGTCTCTCTACTCTAGCGATCTGTGCTCCCCAGAATACTTATCTTGGACTTGTGGCCACAAACAACCATTTTACGTGAAAAGGATAATTTTTCAGAAAGTTGTAGCACGTGGGCCATAAAAAAAAAAAAAAGGGCAGGGGGAACCCAGGCATTGGACAGTAACGGTAGTGCAAGCTCTGAAGTGTAACCAGAATCTTCAATAGGGCTGCCTAGTAATCGAGTAGTAATGCCTAGTAATGCATAAAAGACCACCTATGAAGGAACACATGCCCCGTTGTCCTCCACGTGCTGCAAGCATTCAGTGGATGGTTCCCCAGAATCCCAATCCAGACCATGTTCTGGTGCTGCTGCGCAGAGAAAGCCTCCTTCCGCTCCTGGTCTCTACGAAGCACAGTGCTGCTCTTCTGCTTCTCAAACACCTTCCAGTGCGGTGTGCCCTTCCCAGCTTACATAACAGGAAAGAAAGTTTCCTGGATTCACAACCAAACCCATGCTGCTTTATCAGGATATTGGTCTGCAAAGGCCTTTTTTTAAAAGGATCTTTGCTCATGAGAAATGCCTCGTTTCTACTCCTTACTTTTATCTCTTTCCTTAATCAATCCCTGGCTATCAACACCCAAAAGAAGCAAAAGTAGAAAACAGAAAGTATTTGCACATCCAGGAAACGGAAATAAAACCAAGTATCCAATAGTTATTTCAGTCAATGAGGTGTATTAATACAGACTTTTTCAGTTGATTGTACATCTACTACAGGCATATATAGCCACACAGTGTCTCTGCACACTCACAGGCTAAGCCAATACGCAGGGAAAGACAAACAGAGCAAAAATATTATACTCAAGTGTGCTCCTACTGTTCCTGAGAAACCACAGGCTTGAGAAATACTCCTGGCCTTTTCTGATGCATACCAAAAACCAGATTCAGAAAATCTTTCACCTTTCCCTGTCTGTAGCTGCTGAAATCAGCCTTCAGACCCAGTTCACATCATGTCTAAAATCCATTCACTATAGAAAAAATGATGCTACCAACCATGTTCCCCACTAATACGACACAGTGCCCAACTGCCCACACCTTCCTGTACGAACTGGGATTCTGGTGAAGGTCAGGGTGAGCAGGAGTGACTCGGTGCTGCTGGAAACTTGAGCTAGGTGACTTGCCCAATACCAGACTCATGCAGGATCAGGACGGACTCAGCACGGCGTGCTCCCCTCTGGGCCCCTCTGCCGAGCTTCCTTGCAGGAGCTGACTGAGCCAAGCACACTTTGCATTGCTCAGCTGCTTCCTTACTTTTATGTAACATAGACTTTAAAATCATACGAGGAAGTGAAAACTATGCTTTTCCCAATCTCATGCTCTTATAGTGCTGTGCCCTGAACCCTCCTGTGCTCAGAGCACACCCTTCTACCCTATCCTGTCTGAAACACCCACCCAGCAGGGCAGGGATAGCCAGCTGCTCATCTAGGAACCAGTGAGCACATTAAGCACTGGGCCAAGAACAATAGTCCCGACCTTCCTAAAAAGCAGCCATGTGCCAGCAGGTGGCAGTCGCTAGCCTCTCGTCCTGTATTAAGTAATTTTAAGAGACTAACGTATTTCAGGGGATAGGGGCTTGATTACTCTAATCAGCAGAGCCTCCTTCATCTTGGTTTTGAAGCCAAGCAGCTCTAGATTTATCCCTTCACCACTCAGATTGTTTTTTATTAGGAACAAAACCAAAGGGGTATCATAAATCTTTCACATCCCTTGCCCGGGTGTTTGTGCACACAAGGAAGAGCAACAAAATCCACAGGAGGAGGCTGGATCCTTCGTAAAAAGCCCAGCAGACCTGGAACCCTGGCCAGCTTGCTCCCTTTCCTCCCAAACCAGTGCAAGCAAACTGCTCCCCAGGTGGCTTGTCACGTATCTGGGTCCAAATGACTTCAGTACAACAACAGGCTCTTCTGAATGTTTTGGCCAAGTGCCCCTTCTACTAAGTACCAGCGCTGGCTTCTGGGGTACTGCACAACAGCAAGTCTGAGCTTTCTAGCTTGCTCTTGCAGCGTCCCCTCCCCCTGATTTCTAGAACAATAACATCTCTCATCTGGAGTCTCCGCACAGACTCTGCAGTGGTGCTTATTTATCACCCTTTGTGCAAGGGAGCGCAACCCTGCAGCAAGCAGAGGAAACAGCACACACTGGGACTCAGGACTGCCTGCATATAATCAGCGCTGCTCTCCTGCCCTTTGTTTTGAAGATGCAGAAGCAAACCAACGACCCTGAGACATGCCCAGAGAAAGGGTAGGGAAGCAGTTATTATGTAGGCGCTGAGCTCAGATTGATGTGGCCTACCACCAGCCTCACAGGATCTGGCCTTGTTCACACGGGAAGAATGTGGCTGGGCTCAGGCAGGAAGGAAGGGTTCACACTGGAATCAGCAGAGAGCTGCTCTTGCCTTGGCACCCAGGCCAGGGACTCTGGACAAGCAGATACCACCCATGGCCAGGCACAGCCATTCTGGGGGGCTAGGAGTCAGATTTACTGCTGCAGTGATGTGACAAAACCAGAACAACGGATACCCATCAGATCTGTCATTCTGCAAGCTGCCTTCAAAAGACCTTCCCCAGAAATGCAGCCCCATATCCACATCCCGGGCCTTCACACATTCACAATACCCAAGCTACAGAAAACATTCAAATATGAATTCCCTGTGGCTGCTTTCAAACATCCACAATTATCTCCAAAACCCACCACTGGTAGCACAAAACCCACAGACCACCCAGCACGCTCTGCTTGTGTGGCCTGCACTCGGGCAGCCGCAGTGCGGCACCCTGTATGGTGCAGAACCAGGCAGATAAGAGGCTCTTCAGCCACTGCTTTCACAACTGCCTTCCAAAGACCTCACTTCATCCTGGGCCAGCCAGCACCCTTGCTGCTCTGAGCCCTCTGCTCCCAAGGGGTCAGCTGCATGGTTCTCCAGGGCAAGCTATCTGGGCCTGAGGGCACTAACAAGGCCCTAACAGCCCTGACCAACCTTTCCTGGGGCTTGCACCCACACTGTGCCCACAGGCCCAGGAGCTTCATTAAAGCTCAGCCCCGGGCGGCGGTCCCAGCCCTGCCAGCTGCTACCGAGCTCAGCTCCTGGCTTCCTGTTCCTCGGGCAGCCACCACCCTTTGCTGTACCCTCATGTAAGTACGGGCAACAGGGCCAAAATCAACACAATGGTAAGCTCCCAAACCCAAAAGGAGAGGGGAGATATGCTCAGGTATCACACTGGTCACCAGGATGAAACCCTGAGCAAGAGCTGAAACTGTATCTGGGTGATAGCCATACTCTTACTGCTGCTGCAGCTCCACAGGAATTATACCACCCTGTGTTATGTTCTTTTGTCTGGCTCCACGGAGCCTTTGGTCTTTTCAGGGCACCAAGCTTGCTTCGGAAATCTCCAGTTGTGCATGTGGAACTGGCCATGGACCGTTACCCTCGCACTCTGACTCGGCTGGAAAAAAAGCTCTTTGCAATTTTAAGGTGGGCTGTGAGATAACAATGGCCTTGGCAGAAGTGAATTCACATCTCAAGTTAGGTTGCTCCTCTCCTATTTGCCTTTTACAGTCTCTCACTATGATGCTGCATTGCAAAAACTGCCCTCTGGGAAATGTGTATTACCCTTTGAGCAGTGGCAGGGCTGATGCCCATGTTTTCTGCATGTAGCGGGAAGGAGGATAAACTGGGTCCCCATGCTGGTGGAAAGGCCAAAAGGTTGGGGAGCTATATCTAAGGGCTGGTAATGATCAGCTTTCCCTGCTTAAGCAGAAGGAGACGAGCAGAAAGGAAATCAGATTTTACTCCGGAAATCTGACAGAAGTCTAATGGGCCAAAGGAGCAGAGAAAAGAGAAGCTGCTTAGCACATGAGCACCTAGGACTGTCTTGGGAGCTACATCAGTGGCAGCCATAGCTTAGACAACTAGTGCCCAGTTCTGAGATTGGGCAGCCAGTATCCCTTCAGTGCTCCTTTCTTCTCCAAGGTCCTTTCCTTCCCAGAAGTTCCTTAAGTGAACTGCCAAACCCATTTTTGCTTTTCTAAGCAAAGATGCCAAAAAAAAAAAAAAAATCATACTCTTCTCTGCTTAGAAGCCAGATTCACCAAGCAGCCAGAAGGGGCACTCACCCCAAACCAGGGGCTTCCTTGCAGTCACCTGCCTGCCACCCGACATGGAGACCGAGTGGCTCCAAACAGTCCCAGCATCTCCGAGGTCTCATTTTCTAACATGGGACCTTAACAGCATGTGCAAACCCTGTGCGTGAAGGAACTTGCACTGGCCCCATGCCATGCAAACTCCCCTGAGGAGCTCCAGCATTCAAGTACAAGATGTGAACATTGCATTCAGGCCCCACATGAGGAAAGCAGGGCTTGCTTTGGCAGTAGGCATCTCAAAGAAGGCCCTGCTCCTCCTTGTCCCCTGCAGTGTAGAAGTCAAAGCAGAGGCCATACCCTCACAGTCACTGCTGGTAAGTCACAGTATTACCAATCTCTGAAGCACCGTAGCACCAACAATCCACTCAGCACTGACATACAGCTATATAAACTCACCCCAGTACTAGCTGGCAGAAAAGCAATTGCACAGAAGTGAGCTGGAGTCTGGAGCTCCAAGATTACAGCTTGTGCTTTTCCTCATATTCAATTCAGTTATTTCCCAAAGTTTGAAAGCTCACAGTCCTGTGTTTGAGCTGTAGGCCAGCAAAGAAAAATGCTGCTGGCTCCCATTTCCTTTCTTAATCTGCTCTCTCCCATGTTGACCTTCGTTGGCTTCCTTCCTGCAGCTGCAGGACTGCTGTAAGAAATGTCTCTTTGTTGTCCCAAGCTCAGCGTGCTGCATGCCATGACCTGCACCATTCGCAACACAGCTGAATTGGAAAGAACCATACAGTAGATGAGTAGGCTAGCTAATGCTTGCTACAGTGCCCTCTTAGACTCTGCAGCCTATGTTTTAATCGTCAACCTATGTACAGTAGGCATTCAAATGCTTGGCCAGGACTGCAGCATCTGCCCTGAATTCAGGGCTTAGCAAACCAGATGCAAAACAGATGTGGCAGCATTAGCTCTGCCACTAAACCCCCCACCAAGTATTCCCCATCTGCAGGCAAAAGGTGGGCATGCAGGCAGGCCACACAGTAGCGTCTTGCCATTCTCTTGATCTCAGTGTGCACCATGAGAACGTCAAAGTCCTGGCTGCTTCTTGATGCTCTTGTGAAAGTGCTTTTGATAAAGTGCTTAAGTTTCTCCATCCCTGAGCTTCTCCAAACAGCTGCAAACCAGTTTTCTGACAAGGTACCTAAGGTAAGCTCCTTGAAATGGCTTTAAGGCTGTGCACTTGGCTGCTAAGGAGCAGAAAGACATGCAGACGCTGCTTGGTTGGCTTCTGCAGTGTTCCTAGGGATTAGCTCTCCCTGGAGCAGAATCAGAGCATATTTCCTCCCACTGTAATTGGGGGGGGGTGGGGGTGTTCTCCTGTTCATCCTCTGACCCTGGTAAACTAGCAAAATGTCTCAGCAATCCTGGGGGAGTGCCTGTTTGACCCCAAAGTAGCAAATACTGATAATTCATCATCACTGCAGCAGCCTGAATAGATATGAATGTGGATTCTGGAAAGAAAAATAGGCCAGTTGTTGATGCCGGCAGGCAACTCCCAGCTTCGAGGGGATGCTGCTGTCATGGCTCACAAGCTCCAGTGAGCGCTCGCAACACTGCAGCCTGACCTAATTCTCTTTTCCAGCTGAGAAAGGTCTGGAATACCCTGTGCTTAGAATCCATGCTGGAGCACAAATCCAGCCAGAAACTCAGAGTTGCTTCCTTCAACATCATACATCAGCTTTGCTCCATGAGAGGTGGTGACCCTGGGAAGATTCTGTGTTCAATATTCGTTTCCAATGCTTGCTTTAATCAGCACAGCGATGTGACAGGCTGAGATCTGAGCAAGTTCTACAGAGGCAGAAAATGAGTGGAAACTGGGCAGCTAGACAGAGCACTGTACCTTTGAAAATGCAGCATATTCTCAGCTAATTACTATTATAGTTAAAATTAACGGGAAACAAACGATTCCACGAGACATCTGGAGCGCAGAGCCCCAAGCTCCACCTCACAGACAGCAGGGACAGAGTTCCTCTGCAATTGTTCACACAGTCGAAAACAGTGCCTGTCTAATAGAAGCGGAAATTAAAAATGTCTGCCCCTCAGGACAGAGTTATCAGTTATCAATTGTTGGCAAATCCTTGCTGGCCATCACCTTAAGCTACTGAGTCTTACCTGAAAATGCAATGAGATGCCACCTCAACCTCCCCCAAATCAAACTGCTATGCTCCTGGGTGAAATACACAGTCTCTGCAACCATGAAGGACAAGTCAATTTGCTGCTCTGTCCCCTGGCAAAACTGCAATAAGGAGACCACCAACAAAGGTATCAGCTGTACCTGAGGCCACTTTATATCTCACAGTTTAAAGAAAAGCCTGTCACAGAGACGTCCCTCTGTTTGCTTGCTGATGCCTGCAGTACAGCGTTGCATTCTTACCTGTTCAAGAGGTTGTTCCTGCTG